ATGGACCAACGGCTCCATGTGTTTTATCACTGCTTTTCTTGTGTTTGAGCTAATAATAATAATAATAATAATAATGATAATGATAATAATAATAATAAATAATAATAATAATGATAATAATAATAATAATGATAATAATGATAATAATAATGATAATGATAATAATAATGATAATAATAATAATAATAATAATAATGATAATGATAATGATAATAATAATAATAATAATAATAATAATAATAATAATAATAATAATAATGATAATAATAATGATGATAATAATAATGATAATGATAATGATAATAATAATAATAATAATAATGATAATAATAATAATAATAATAATAATAATAATAATGATAATGATAATAATAATAATAATAATAATAATAATAATAATAATGATAATAATAATGATAATAATAATAATAATAATAATAATGATTATAATAATAATGATAATGATAATGATAATAATAATAATAATAATAATGATAATAATAATGATGATAATGATAATGATAATGATAATAATAATAATAATGATAATAATAATAATAATGATAATAATAATAATAATAATAATAATAATAATAATGATGATAAAAAGTATAATTATAGTAATAATAATAATAATAATAATAAGTATAATAATAATAATAATAATAATAATAATGATAATGATAATAAAATAATAATAATAATGATAATGATAATGTGTCCTTGGGCAAGACACTTAACCCCACTTTGCCTGAAGCCCCCACTGAAAGATCTCAGCTCCTGTGGACTCAGCACCTGCAGGAGGATCAGTGAGGGGCTGGTGCTCTGTGACTGGGTGCAGCTCTGACTGCCACCCCCCCAACCCAGAAATGGATTAAGGGGAAGAAAATGGATGGATGGATGGATAATGATAATAAAATAATAATAATAATGATAATAATAATAATAATAATAATGATAATAATAATGATGATAATAATAATGATAATGATAATGATGATAATAATAATAATAATAATGATAATAATGATAATAATAATAATAATAATAAGGATAATAATAATAAGGATAATAATATTTATTATTAATGAAATGAAATGAAATAATGATAATGATAATAATAATAATGATGATGATGATGATAATAATAATAATAATAAGGATAATAATAATAAGGATAATAATAAGGATAATAATAATAATAATAATAATAATAATAAGATAATAATAATAATAATAATAATGATAATGATAATGATGATAATAATAATAATAATAATAAGGATAATAATAATAATAATAATGATAATAAGATGCTTCACATGTTATTATTACTATTACTGTAGCCGCAGCTGCCCTGGGGCACACTGACAGAAGCGAGGCAACCAGTGTGTGCCCTCAGCCCCTCCCACCACCACCACACACACACACACACACACACAAACACAAAGAGAGACACACACACACACACACAGACACACACACACACACCAGACTCATCCTGATCAATTGAATTAAACTGAATTACAGATAGTAAACTTCTAAGATCTCAGTGTTTACAGATGACTCCAGGTCAAACCTAAACTCTGCAGCCTCCACTCTTTAGTAAAACTTTTAATGTTCTCTCACTTTTCAGGTTTCAAATGAAACTACGGTAAGTGTAAAGTGTCAGGATTGGAAGTATTCTGAAAGAACTTTTAAATACAGTGTAGATTACCTTTGGAACAGACACATGGATCTGGAAATATCCTCGGAATCAAAAAACTAAAACAAGAGGAAAGACGTTGCAACCTTGGAAGAGCACAACTCTAACTTTATATATAATTCATAAATACAATATTTCTGCCTCATTCTGTGCATTTATTAAAGTCTCTCCCAACTCAGAGCTTCTCTAAGTATTACGAACAAAACATATTTCTATTTATCTGGAATTAAGTATCATTCTATTACTACATTTAGAAGCTCTGTGTTTTTGATAAAAGTCTCATTAGTTTAAAAATGTACAAAAACACAAAGTTACTGAAATAAATCATTTCATATTCTCAAAAGAGGGGTTTTTGTTTTACTTATTTAACCAAATCAAATATGGTTCAAAGTTCCTAAAAGAATCTGGAGAGTTGGTTTTGGTTCAGATAAACTGCTGAAAGTGTTTTGCAGCAGATCATATCAACTCTGATGTTCTCACTGATGGAAAGCCCTGACTCTGAGAGAAGTATTCATCAACCATATTGTTATTAGAATATATTCATCAACCATATTGTTATTAGAATATATTCATCAACCATATTGTTATTAGAATATATTCATCAACCATATTGTTATTAGAATATATTCATCAACCATATTGTTAAGAAGGACATTTATTAGAATATTCTCAGAGAATTAAAAACTAATATAAATATCAGTTCTCACAGGTGTGTAACTGATTATCTGGGGTCTTGGGGAATAAATGGAAACTCATAATTAATACTGAAAAATACTTGTTTAGACTTGAACACTTCACTGAACAGAAGATTGTCACACCTCACAGACTCACAAACCAGATTCTTTACAATCAAAATTCTAAATAATGTTATCCACAAAAAGATGCTCAAGATTTGGGGTCTGCAGGAATCAGACTCATGCGGCTTCTGCCAAACAGATGTTGAATCATCTGAGACTGATTCTGGTTCTGTCCTGTGGGGGCAGCATTTTGGGTTATTATGTATAAAATAATACAAATATAGACATCCATCTGTCCCTTTTCTTCCGCTTCATCCGTTGCCGGGTCGCGGGGGCAGCAGTCTAAGCAGAGACGCCCAGACTTCCCTATCCACACACACCTCCTCCAGCTCGTCTGGGGGGACCCCAAGGCGTTCCCAGGCCAGCTGAGAGACATAGTCCCTCCAGCGGGTCCTGGGTCTTCCCCGGGGCCTCCTCCCGGTGGGACGTGCCCGGAACACCTCCCCAGGGAGGCGTCCAGGAGGCATCGGAACAGATGCCCGAGCCACCTCAACTGGTTCCTCTTGACGTGAAGGAGCAGCCGCTCTACTCCGAGCTCCTCCCGTGTGACTGAGCTCCTCACCCTATCTCTAAGGGAGCAGCCACTCTGCGGAGGAAGCTCATTTCGACCGCTTGTATCCGCGATCTCGTTCTTTCGGTCATTACCCAAAGTTCATGACCATAGGTGAGGGAGGGAACGAAGATTGACCGGTAAATCGAGAGCTTTGCCTTTCGGCTCAGCTCCCTCTTTACCACAACGGTCCGATACAGCTCTGACTGCAGACGCTGCTCCCTCTTTACCACGACGGTCCGATACAGCGACCGCATCACTGCGCACGCTGCACCGATCCGCCTGTCAATCTCACGCTCCATTCTTCCCTCACTCGTGAACAAGACCCCGAGATACTTGAACTCCTCCACTTGAGGAAGGACCTCTCCACCCACCTGCAGAGGGCAAGGCACCTTTTTCCGGTCGAGCACCATGGCCTCAGATTTGGAGGTGCTGATTCTCATCCCAGCCGCTTCACACTCGGCTGCAAACCGCTCCAGTGCATGTTGCAGGTCCTGGTTCGTTGGAGCCAACAGGACAACATCGTCCGCAAAAAGAACCGGACGCCCTCCGGCCCCTGGCTGCGCCTAGAAATTCTGTCCATAAATACAAAGGGCAGCCCTGTCGGAGGCCAACATTCACCGAGCACAGGTCTGACTTACTGCCGGCAATGCGAACACAGCTCTGGCTCCGGTCATACAGGGACCGAACAGCCCTCAGCAGAGGACCCCGGACCCCGTACTCCCGGAGAACCCTCCAGAGAACCCCCCGGGGAACACGGTCAAACGCCTTCTCCAAATCCACAAAGCACATGTGGACAGGTTGGGCGAACCCCCATGAACCCTCGAGTATCCGATGGAGAGTGTAGAGCCGGTCCCTCCTGGACTGCCACCTTAACGTGGTGGGGGAGTTTGAGTACTCGGATGATCCTGGGAGCTATGCTGTCTGGGGCTTCATGCCCCTGGTAGGGTCTCCCATGGCAGACAGGTCTCGGGTGACAAGTCAGATGAAGCGCAGTCCGAAGACACCATGGACAGCACTAATTCAAGAGCAGTGACGTCGCCCGGCATGGCGCAGCCGGGGCCCCACCCTGGAGCCAGGCCTGGGGTCGGGGCTCGTATGCGAGCGCCTGGTGGCCGGGGCCTTAGACCATGGGGCCCGGCCGGGCTCAGCCCAAAGGGCTGACGTGGGCAGTCCCTCCTGTGGGCCCTCCACCTGCAGAGGGGTCCGTGGTGGCGAAACGGTGCAGAGAGGACTGGGCGGCAGTCGAAGGCGGAGACCTCGGCGACCCAGTCCACACACACAAATAGACATTTAAACTGAATATTAAGTCATGTCTTTTGTCAATATCATTAGGGTTCTTTGGAGACTTATAACATAAAGAAACTGTTTCACTTTTGATATTTAAGTCAAGTGAGAAAGATTTAAATACTGTGAGCGTCTTTATTATGTTGGGCGGCACGGGCGGCACGGCACGGTGGCTGAGTGGATAGCACTCTCGCCTCTCAGCAAGAAGGTCCTGGGTTCGAATCCCGGTTGGACCAGGGCCTTTCTGAGTGGAGTTTGCATGTTCTCCCCGTGTCTGCGTAGGTTTCCTCCGGGTACTCCGGTTTCCCCTACCACTAAAAATATGTACAATAGGTCTGGCATGTGCCTCCTGTACTGGCACCCCCACTCCCAAAAATAACAATTGTAAACCGCTTTGAGACTCCGATGTGCAGTGAAAAGGCGGTATATAAATAAAGATTACTACTACTTACTACTACTGTTGAACACTTTCACAATTTAGCAGAATGTTCAGTTGAAATAGAGCAAAAAAAAGCTCCAAAAAAGGTGAAGATTCTTGATGCCTTCTCTTTGGAAAAAAGTCTGATTATTATTCTCCTTATTTGTTTTCTCTCCTTGCTTTAGGATTTTGTTATGCTTTTATGGATTGATTGATTTACATTGTACTAAAGCCCCGCCCACCTTAGCCCCGCCCCTCACCTGAGCAGATGACGTCCTCACTGGGTCCAGAGGGACAGGTCTTGGGTCTGGAGCGGGGACAGTCCACCAGAGCAGACTCATGGCCTTCACAGTGGAACGTCTGCCCCAGAGGAGAGAGCTCCCCCTGGAGGACAGAAGGAGCATCGCAGCCCAGCTCCCCGCACAGCACCTCTGCTCCACGCAGGTCCAAGGCCCCTTCACAGACCGAGATCCAGGACTGGTCCCATATCTGCAGTGATCCAGAGCAGAGACCAGAGCCTCCAACCAGCCGCACAGAGTCTGAGACAGAGAGGTCTTCATCACACTCTGGACACAGAGTCTGAGACACAGAGGTCTTCATCACACTCTGGACACAGAGTCTGAGACACAGAGGTCTTCATCACACTCTGGACACAGAGTCTGAGACACAGAGGTCTTCATCACAGTCTGAGACAGAGAGGTCTTCATCACACTCTGGACACAGAGTCTGAGACAGAGAGGTCTTCATCACACTCTGGACACAGAGTCTGAGACAGAGGTCTTCATCACACTCTGGACACAGAGTCTGAGACAGAGAGGACTTCATCACACTCTGGACACAGAGTCTGAGACAGAGGTCTTCATCACACTCTGGACACAGAGTCTGAGACAGAGGTCTTCATCACACTCTGGACACAGAGTCTGAGACAGAGGTCTTCATCACACTCTGGGCACAGAGTCTGAGACAGAGGTCTTCATCACACTCTGGACACAGAGTCTGAGACAGAGGTCTTCAGCACACTCTGGACACAGAGTCTGAGACAGAGGTCTTCAGCACACTCTGGACACAGAGTCTGAGACACAGAGGTCTTCATCACACTCTGGACACAGAGTCTGAGACAGAGAGGTCTTCATCACACTCTGGACACAGAGTCTGAGACAGAGAGGTCTTCATCACACTCTGGACACAGAGTCTGAGACACAGAGGTCTTCATCACACTCTGGGCACAGAGTCTGAGACACAGAGGTCTTCATCACACTCTGGACACAGAGTCTGAGACAGAGGTCTTCATCACACTCTGGACACAGAGTCTGAGACACAGAGGTCTTCATCACACTCTGGACACAGAGTCTGAGACAGAGAGGTCTTCATCACACTCTGGACACAGAGTCTGAGACAGAGGTCTTCATCACACTCTGAACACAGAGTCTGAGACACAGAGGTCTTCATCACACTCTGGACACAGAGTCTGAGACAGAGGTCTTCATCACACTCTGGACACAGAGTCTGAGACAGAGGTCTTCATCACACTCTGGGCACAGAGTCTGAGACAGAGGTCTTCATCACACTCTGGACACAGAGTCTGAGACAGAGGTCTTCATCACACGCTGGACACAGAGTGTGAGACACAGAGGTCTTCATCACACTCTGGACACAGAGTCTGAGACACAGAGGTCTTCATCACACTCTGGACACAGAGTCTGAGACACAGAGGTCTTCATCACACTCTGGACACAGAGTCTGAGACACAGAGGTCTTCATCACACTCTGGACACAGAGTCTGAGACAGAGAGGTCTTCATCACACTGGACACAGAGCTCCACAGCAGACATCACTGTGAGACATGTGCCATTCAAATAAATACTTTCACTGAGCCCCTGGGGACCCAAGCTGTCTGTGCTTTCAGGTCCATGGACTGAAATATTAGCATGTGTGTGTTTGTATTTCTTCATCCTTGATTGAGTCCTGTTGTGTGTAATTGTGTCTCTGTTTTGTATTGTATTGTAGCGTGTCCATAAAAAGCTGTGTTGTTCTGTGTGTTGCTCTCCCTGTTGTGTTGTGTGTGTGTTCTGTACTTTCTCCTGTGTGTGACATCATCAGGGGCTGTCTTTGATGAAACTGAAGATAGAACGTTCACATGAGTCACTGTCAAACCTGCGCCTTCTTCCGACTCACTGTCAAACCTGCGCCTCCTTCTGACTCACTGTCAAACCTGCGCCTCCTTCTGACTCACGGTCAAACCTGCGCCTCCTTCTGACTAAGTGTCAGAGCTGCTCCTCCTTCTGACTCACTGTCAAACCTGCGCCTCCTTCTGACTCACTGTCAAACCTGCGCCTCCTTCTGACTCACTGTCAGAGCTGCTCCTCCTTCTGACTCACTGTCAAACCTGCGCCTCCTTCTGACTCACTGTCAAACCTGCGCCTCCTTCTGACTCACTGTCAAACCTGCGCCTCCTTCTGACTCACTATCAAACCTGCGCCTCCTTCTGACTCACTATCAAACACGCGCCTCCTTCTGCCTCACTGTCAAACCTGCGCCTCCTTCTGACTCACTGTCAAACCTGCGCCACCTTCTGACTCACTGTCAAACACGCGCCTCCTTCTGCCTCACTGTCAAACCTGCGCCTCCTTCTGACTCACTGTCAAACCTGCGCCACCTTCTGACTCACTGTCAAACCTGCGCCTCCTTCTGATTCACTGTCAAACCTGCGCCTCCTTCTGACTCACTGTCAAACCTGCGCCTCCTTCTGACTCAGTGTCAAACCTGCGCCTCCTTCTGACTCAGTGTCAAACCTGCGCCTCCTTCTGACTCAGTGTCAGAGCTGCTCCTCCTTCTGACTCACTGTCAAACCTGCGCCTCCTTCTGACTCACTATCAAACACGCGCCTCCTTCTGCCTCACTGTCAAACCTGCGCTTCCTTCTGACTCACTGCCAGAGCTGCTCCTCTTCTGACTCAGTGTCAAAGCTGCGCCTCCTTCTGACTCACTGTCAAACCTGCGCCACCTTCTGACTAAGCATCAAACCTGCGCCTCCTTCTGACTCACTGATGAACCTGCGCCTCCTTCTGACTCACTGTTGAAACTGCGCCTCCTTCTGACTCAGTGTTAAACCTGCGCCTCCTTCTAACTCAGTGTCAGAGCTGCACCTCCTTCTGACTCACTGTCAAACCTGCGCCTCCTTCTGACTCAGTGTCAAACCTGCGCCTCCTTCTGACTCAGTGTCAAAGCTGCGCCTCCTTCTGACTCACTGTTGAACCTGCGCCTCCTTCTGACTCAGTGTTAAACCTGCGCCTCCTTCTGACTCAGTGTCAGAGCTGCGCCTCCTTCTGACTCAGTGTCAAAGCTGCGCCTCCTTCTGACTCAGTGTCAAAGCTGCGCCTCCTTCTGACTCACTGTTGAACCTGCGCCTCCTTCTGACTCAGTGTTAAACCTGCGCCTCCTTCTAACTCAGTGTCAGAGCTGCGCCTCCTTCTGACTCACTGTCAAACCAGCGCCTCCTTCTGACTCAGTGTCAAACCTGTGCCTCCTTCTGACTCAGTGTCAAAGCTGCGCCTCCTTCTGACTCACTGTCAAACCTGTGCCTCCTTCTGACTCAGTGTCAAAGCTGCGCCTCCTTCTGACTCACTGTCAAACCTGCGCCTCCTTCTGACTCACTGTCAAACCTGCGCCTCCTTCTGACTCACTGTCAAACCTTGGCCTCCTTCTGACTCACTGTCACACCTGTGCCTCCTTCTGACTCAGTGTCAAAGCTGCGCCTCCTTTTGACTCACTGTCACACCTGTGCCTCCTTCTGACTCAGTGTATAAGCAGCGCCTCCTTCTGACTCAGTGTCAAAGCTGCGCCTCCTTCTGACTCACTGTCACACCTGTGCCTCCTTCTGACTCAGTGTCAAACCTGCACCTCCTTCTGACTCAGTGTCAAACCTGCGCCTCCTTCTGACTCACTGTCAAACCTGTGCCTCCTTCTGACTCAGTGTCAAACCTGCGCCTCCTTCTGACTCAGTGTCAAACCTGTGCCTCCTTCTGACTCACTGTCACACCTGTGCCTCCTTTTGACTCAGTGTCAAAGCTGCTTCTCCTTCTGACTCACTGTCAAACCTGTGCCTCCTTCTGACTCACTGTCAAACCTGTGCCTCCTTCTGACTCACTGTCACACCTGCGCCTCCTTCTGACTCACTGTCAAACCTGCGCCTCCTTCTGACTCACTGTCAAACCTGTGCCTCCTTCTGACTCACTGTCAAACCTGTGCCTCCTTCTGACTCAGTGTCAAACCTGTGCCTCCTTCTGACTCAGTGTCAAACCTGCACCTCCTTCTGACTCAGTGTCAAACCTGCGCCTCCTTCTGACTCACTGTCAAACCTGTGCCTCCTTCTGACTCAGTGTCAAACCTGCGCCTCCTTCTGCCTCAGTGTCAAACCTGTGCCTCCTTCTGACTCACTGTCACACCTGTGCCTCCTTCTGACTCAGTGTCAAAGCTGCATTTCCTTCTGACTCACTGTCACACCTGTGCCTCCTTCTGACTCAGTGTCAAAGCTGCGCCTCCTTCTGACTCACTGTCAAACCTGCGCCTCCTTCTGACTCAGTGTCAAACCTGCGCCTCCTTATGACTCACTGTCAAAACTGTGCCTCCTTCTGACTCACTGTCACACCTGTGCCTCCTTTTGACTCAGTGTCAAAGCTGCGCCTCCTTCTGACTCACTGTCAAACCTGCGCCTCCTTCTGACTCACTGTCACACCTGTGCCTCCTTCTGACTCAGTGTCAAAGCTGCGCCTCCTTCTGACTCAGTGTCAAAGCTGTGCCTCCTTCTGACTCAGTGTCAAAGCTGCGCCTCCTTCTGACTCACCTGTCAAACCTGCGCCTCCTTCTGACTCACTGTCAAACCTGCGCCTCCTTCTGACTCACTGTCAAACCTGCGCCTCCTTCTGACTCACTGTCAAACCTGCGCCTCCTTCTGACTCACTTTCACATCTGTGCCTCCTTCTGACTCAGTGTCAAAGCTGCACCTCCTTCTGACTCAGTGTCAAAGCTGCGCCTCCTTCTGACTCAGTGTCAAACCTGCGCCTCCTTCTGACTCAGTGTCAAACCTGCACCTCCTTCTGACTCAGTGTCAAAGCTGCGCCTCCTTCTGACTCAGTGTCAAAGCTGCACCTCCTTCTGACTCAGTGTCAAAGCTACGCCTCCTTCTGACTCAGTGTCAAAGCTGCACCTCCTTCTGACTCAGTGTCAAAGCTGCGCCTCCTTCTG